AAGTTCATAAAATATAATGTTAACTGTCACTTGGTTTTGACAATTGATGAAGATCCGACCGTTGGATGGTAAAGAAATTTTAGGATGTTGTTCTACAAATATATTGTGGACCTCTGGAAGTTATGTATTGGAAATCTGAGTTGCAGATATTCCGGATCGAACTGCATAGTGACGTGTTTTATATAAGTTATATATTCTATCGATATGATTTCTGAGGTTTGATTTGATGATTGTTCTAGGCACCGATCGTCATGACGCCTCGATGTGTTGTGCTAGGGAGTTGTAAGGCGAACTCCAGGTGAGTGGGCAGTATTTTCTGTATTTACCTATATACTATTGATTTTCCCAGAAATTGAATTTAAATGAAAGTATGTTTTAAAATGCCATGCATACATATATGTGAAATATATGAATTGGTAATTGTTGCATATATATATGTTAATGGTGCTGTGGACGCACGGGTGAGTATCAGGTGAGTTTATATTGTTCATATGATTTGTTGATGATGTGAATTATGTTGAGAGCTCATAACCTGCACCCCTGGTGTTAGTGCTTATATTATTCACCCCGCACCACACGCTTACCTTGGATCCAAGTAGGTGCATGTCGTACAGACCATGAGAGGGTTCCGACATGTCGTACAAACCATAGAATGGTTCCGACTGTAGGTGATTTTAGATTATTATACAGATGTTAATGAGAAAAACACTAGAGCGTATTCTTACACCATTCTTATCGTATAGACTACTTCAGGTAATTCCGATTTATGTGCAGAGCAGTGCCGTACAGGTCACTATGGTGACTCCGGTTGGATTGGATATTGAGCTATAGAATTAACCGTACAGGACCAACTGCAAGGTCTCCGGTTGATTCCTTGTTTCACCTGTTATAATGTTGCATCCTTATTATGTTTTGATGCATAGCATGGCATGTTTTCTTGAAAAGTATTAAAGACTTGTGATTTGAGTTTTGAGATTATATATGGTTATATATATATACTATTTTCTGGGAAAGTATACAGGTTTTACAGCGAGGGGTTAGAAATGTTGTTCAATGAAACGTTTTCGAAAAACTTTGTTTTACTGACTCACTCAACTTTGTTTTGCGCCCCTCCAGGTTCAAGATAGCAGAGCTTTGGTGGCCACAAGGAATCCAACGGTGTTCTGACAGAATTCACAAAAGTATGACTCACCCTCGAGTGTTACATCTTAATAATTGTATCTTTAAAGCTTCTGAGCTGTGTAAATGGTTACGTCACTCTCACATGATAGCCAGCATGCCCTCCTTCGGGACGGGGTGTGTCATTTCACCAGTAGGATCATATCCATTTATTTTAGGTTTAAACTTTTTGAAAAGTTTGCAAGGTTTTTTATTTATGAACCTGACATAACTTTTTTCAAAAGAGGCATTATAATAACTGACCAAAGTAATATTGTAGAAGCATACAAAAACATAAGTATAGAAGAGCCTAGTAGCCAAGATAGTTATCATTTAGAAAACTCAAAAGAAAATGATAAGCATAATAACGTAGAAGAGTTTGATGAAGACATATTTGAACATGAATACCCGATTTTAGAAAAATGAACCTGCATAGAAATATGACAGTTAGATAGACCAAAGAGTTTAGAATAATTGTTACAATTAGCAGAACAAACTAGGATTATATGAGAAGACCCATAGTTACATTGGAGTAAAAATAAAATACTAGCAAAATTATATATAATTAACCTAGATTTAATCATTAAGACGGCTGATATGCCTTGTAGTCTAATAGATAAACAAGAGTTTGAGCAGCAAATAAAAGAGTTGTTAAATTTAAAAGTAATTAGACCCTCTAAGTCTAAACATAGATCAGCAGCATTTATTGTAAGAAAACATTCAGAACTAAAGAGAGGTAAGGCTATGATAGTTTATAATTACAAGAGATTAAATGATAATACATACGAAGATAGTTATAAATTACCAAATAAGGATGAGCTTATAAATAAAATTCAAGAGAGTATATATTTTAGCAAATTTGATTGTAAATCAGGCTTTTTGCAAATAAAATTAGCAGAAGAATCAATTGAGTGGACAACTTTTACTTGTCCAGAATGACATTTTGAGTGGCTTGTTATGCCATTTGGACTTAAAAATGCTCCATCGATCTTTCAAAGAAAGATGGACCAAATTTTCAAGAAATATGATAATTTTTGTAGTGTTTATGTAGATGATATTTTAGTACATAGTAAAAATAAAAATGAACATAGGAAGCATTTAGAGATAGTATTATAAGAATTTATCACTAATGGAATTGTGATTAGCAAAAATAAAATAGCATTAGAAAACCAAGATATAGAATTTTTAGGAATGTATATCAAGTCAGGTACAATACAATTACAAGATCATATAGCTAAAAATGTGTTGGAATTTCTAGACAAATTAGAAGATAAGAAACAGTTACAAGCATTTTTAGGATTGCTAAATTATGCAAGAAATTTTATCCCTGATTTAGGAAGAAAAATAGCAGTACTACATAGTAAAACTAGCAAAACATGACAAAAGTATTTTAATAGGAAGATATTAAATTAGTTCAAAAAAATAAAAGAAGAAATTACTAAACTTAAGCCATTAACATTACCATTAGATGATAGTTACAAGATAGTTGAAACAAATGCTTCATCATTATGATGGGCAGGTATACTATACCAAAAAAAATATAGGGAGTCTCCAAAGTTTGACGAACAAGTTTGTAGATATTTCTCAGGAAAGTTTAGTGATATACAGTCAAGATTACCATCAACAGATTTAGAAATTTTAGAGATAATTAATTCACTTGAAGCATTTTCTTTATTTTTACATAATGAAGTATTTATGATTAGAACAGATTGTCAAAATATAGTTTCTCACTATAACAAGATACATGCTAATAAACAGGCATCCCGAAAATGGGTTAATTTTGTTGATTCAATTACAAGAAATGATTTTAAACCAATTTTTGAACATATAAAAGGTAATGACAATACATTAGCTGATATTTTATCAAAATTAATTTGTTGAACATGTATGGAATATCATGGATCATCATCAGCAAATAGCACAAGGCTACAAGACAGAAGAGTTTCTTTCAATGGCATGATGATGCACCATCAACCTCCACCATTCAGTGGATTTCAAAATAGCATGAACAGATGCTGAACTTTAATGGCAATATTGTTTAAGGAATCAGAAATCCAACTCTTAGATATAGGTCAAGGGTACCAGGGCTTTCTGATAGGCAGTAGGTTCTCTTAGATAATTTTTGGAATATTCAAATTAAGTAGCCAAACATGAGGTTAGGTCATGAAAAATTAATTAGAGCCTTAGAACAAGAGTTTGATAGTTTTAATTTTAATTTCCACCAAAACCAGCAACATATTCATTCTCTTGAGCACAACCTTCAAGCCATCTCTAGGGACCATGAGTCATTACTTGTTAAGTTTATCAAAATGAACCAAGAACTCCAATCTCTTACAATGCAGCAAAAGGCAAGTGACACCTTGAAAAGAGAATTAAAAATAGGTTTAGAACTTGATCAGCATAAGAATAAAGGAAAAGAGGTTGCTGAACCCATAGAATAAGAGGCTAATAAGCCCATAGAAGAAATTAAGATTGAGTTCTTAGAAGAAGACGTTGAAATGGAGCAACATCAAAGTAAGGATCAGTATCAGGTTTTGAGTGACAAAGAAAAACAAGAAAAATATGAAAGTTTTCTTAGAAATATATCTTCAGACTTAATATTAGATGATGTTTTATTAGAAGAAATTTCAAAGGCAAAACTAAGAATAATGTCAACAGATATGCAAAATGAGATCTTGAGCAGAGCATCACAGTCCATGAAAGAGTTACAATTACAATTACAATACGCCTTGTATCAGTCCATCTTTGATCCAAAACCAGGGATGGATAATATTACAAAGATGTATCCTCCATGTTTTTGTGATAGTACAGAGAATTGTATTTGTAAATTAGATGTTAGCGTAGCTGTGGCCAGGATTAACATGAGAGATTTTAAATCATGGCATTTTAGTTATGAGCATCAGAAAAAGCATAATGTGGTAGAAGTTACCCCTGCCTTACTATTAGAGTTTAGTTATCTCGATAAAATATTTAATAACCGTATTTCTCAACTAGAATCATTTCCTGAAAAGCTTATATAAGTAGCAGAAGATTATCTAGAAATGTGAAAAGAAATTTGCATAAGTTTTATTAATAGTCTTTCAGATTGGTATGTACATATGCATGAGGAGAAAGCTAAGCATATAGCCATAATCAATGAAGAGTCATTTAGACTAACCCCTATCTCCTCACATAGGTGGACTCCTTCATACAAAGATATTTTAAAATTTAGAGAGATCCAAATGTTTGCCTTAGATGAGTTTGAAGATTTTAGGTATGACATGGTACTAGTAGCAGAAGAAGAAGAGATGTATATTTACAGCAAGACAAGGATCAGTCATCAACCTTATTGGAAGCCCTAAAATTTCAAAGAAGAAACAGCAGAAATATATTACAAGGTGAAAGAAGATAGAGAAAGAGAAGCGAAGAAGGCGGTGAACAGTACTGCAATAATTTGACAGAAGAAAAGCTGCATAACATCGACAACATGATGGAAGCCTGAAGAGATAGCTGTAAATTAGCATAAGTTTAATAGCATAATGTAAAATAATGTATTCCCAGACAGAAATGTCAACATCATTATGGACCCCGCTGTAATAGCATAAGAGTAAATAAAAAAAAGAACATGATCCATTATGAGTTTTTCATACACAAAATGTCATTTTGATTAAGAATGAATAATTCCAGACGCTTTTCGTTAGAACTCCCTTAGTTTAAAGACTCTTGCTCACGTCCCTACATTAATTAGCGAGTGATAGTTTTGTGGGTCAACAACTTGTATAAGATAACCTAAGTATGCACTTTGTATTAAACAAAGATTTGACGCAAACTTGTTCAACAAATACGCAAACTTGTTTAACAAATTGACAGGAAAACTAAGCATGTTATTGTTAGAACCAGGATTCATGCCCGCGTGATGCGACGGGTCGAAAACTGTCATGTAATTAACAAATACAAATATAAAGGGGGCAAGTAAAAGAGTCCATGAATTTCCATAGTATACCAAGTTAGTAAAAATGTACTCCAACATGACCATCTCAAAAGGAGATTCATTCACTCTCAATATGGTTTATCGTCTGCAAAAGTAGTGTCTTTATCGTCTGCAAAAGTAGCGTCTCATTTTCTTCAGGGCTGCATTGAGTTTAAACATGTAGGACAACACCAATCACAATTACAAATACTTACAACTGTGCAAAAGAATTATAAAAACACTTATGTACCATATAAGAACAAACCTCACAATTGGTCTTAAGAACTGTTTTTCCAAAGATTCCCATTACAATGCGATATGAAAGAAAACAAAACATGAATAATATCAAGGAAACTACATTTTCTCTACCAAGTAAAGTCTACGGCAGGTGATGAACAAAATACAAAGTTCTCAGCTTTAATTTAATTATTATAAAATATTGAAGGAAATTAACAACTACCCAGAAATGTTTGCTCAAAATTAATTGATAATATGAATAATTTAATTACACAACATTTAAAAAACCCAAAGTTCTTAGCTTAATTTGATCTTACCATTTAATTGGAAGAAGTAAAAAATTACACATAAATGTTTGCACACAATTAATTGATGAAACAATCAATTGGGCAATCAAAAATTTCAGATGAAGAAATCATACCAATGGGTTTCCATTAATTTCGATATCTAAGTTTAACTTTGTAAGTCACTCCAAATCGTCCTCCTGCCAAAAACAGAAACAACCCCCAAAATAAGGAGCTCTGTTGGTTCCCAAATATTAACAACTGTTTCACGTGTACCTTTCATCAAACAGGTGGTGATTGCTGCTACTAAGCAGGATTGAAGATTGAGTATCTCATTATTATAGGAATTAGAAGTCATCTTCCAGACGAAGGAAAAAGTATAAAAACGACTCAAATACTCAAGGATAGGCAATCAAACTAATGGTGCAGTGAAGACAATAAAACACGACCTACTACTCCCTCTCTCTCTCTCTGTGCAAAGGCGGCATGGCTCTCATTCACCAAACCCTCATCGAATGACAGCAACCTAGACCCATCCCAATCCATTCCAAACCCATAGGACAAAATTAACCTTCCCAACTTAGCATCCTGACCACTTTGGATCCAAAAACTTTTGGCACAAAGAGTGCACATGCAATTAAAATTCAAAGATCTCGTGCATGCAAGCGTACATCAGTAAAGGGAGCCAGAGATTATTACATTTTACCTTGGGTCTGAGATCCTTAAGTCATGTGCTCTCCATTTTCCAAACGGACTTGAGTGTTGCAGTAGCGTCCTGCAAAGAAATCACAGATACATTAGCTGGCACAGAGAATAGACACATTTTTTTGTTTCAGACCGCAGATCCAAGAACCACACTTATTTCACCAATTCTTGGTTCTGGACAGAAAAGCGAAGCAAGGGATTGGATGTTTACCTTTGGAATTTTTGTACTCTCCAATGAGAGAGGGGAACCCAGAATGAAAAACAAACCAAAGGGCAAACAAATATATAGACGCCCAGAAAATATATGCACTAATTAAAGATGAATTCAAAACCACAATGCACTAATTAAAGATGAATTCAAAACTCTAAATAAATGTAAGTTTCATATTTAAATTATGTCTCCAATAATGCAAAACGACAAAGAGATAGAGAATATGTCAAAAAACACACAAGGCTTGACAGAAAAATGATAGAAGAGCAATGCTCAATTCTTTGATAGAAGAGCAATGCTCAATTCTTTGTTACCATAAAATTATAATTCCAAATTGTCTCCTTTAGCATATCAAACTCCCTCCCTAATATACTAGTGTGCCAAAACATCTTCATCAATGCAAATACAACTCCCTAAGCCACTGAAACATATTAAATGACAATTGTTCCACCTAGCCACTTAATTTAAAACACAACTTACAATGCATCAAAATTACTACAAAACATTACATCACAACCTAAGATACATGAATCTCAAATTAATAATTAACGGAATTGATGAACACCAAAATACCAAAAGCCCCATTGAATAAACTCCTTATTCACTACATCAGACTCTCCGGGTGAGAAAGAACACGTCCACGAGTTCACTAATTTCAAGCAAAGCTCCTTCCAAATCGCCGAGTTTAGAAACCACGTTGCCTCACTTCTCTTTCTTTTCTTCTTCGAACTAACAAAAATATTACTTGCATAGCAGAAACAAAGATTCATTCTTTCCCAAAATTGTAGTAACCTACATAACTTTTCACGAAAGATATAAGGCTTCAAAATCATAATTAACTCTTTCCTTGCATTCAAATAGTTGTTGATGGATCCATAGATAAAGTCATACCAAATGGAATCATAAAACTGAAAGTTGGGAACCTTTTCCTCAACTGTAGGCAAATAAGTAGTATAATTTGTAATGTTTAAAGCATCTAGAGAAATAATATTACAAGGAATCAGGTCCGCACTCATTGTTTCATCTCTCCCATGAACCAAGAAGACGTCATTAGAGCCACTAGATGGATTGGCAAAACCTTTTGCTTCGGGATCCCCCTTTGAGCAAGACATGAAATTGTGCAGAGAAACTGATTCGCTAACATCAGATATATCAATTTATGAATAACCCAGCTTGTTGTGATGAAGAGATTCATCAATGACCTCTTTTTTTTAATATGTATCTCCATCTTCATGATATTTGTTGATGCACAAAACCGAAGGGTCTTGGAACAACGTAAATCAGACCGTGAATCTGTAAGAAAGTAAATAACAAATGGTGTATCGTGGTTCACCCCAACGTTTGGGCTACGTCCACACTGATATTGTATTTCTCTGTGAGTGAGAGAGAGCCTCTAAATAGGAGAGTGAGGCTTTTAAGGGTGGGAGTCAGGCCTAAGAATTGGCCTCCCCTAATGAGGAGTGAAGAGTCCTTTTATAGAATAAGGGCTCCTCACTTATTACATATTTGCCCATTCCTTTATTACATAATTACATTTAAATCCCCCGAGTATTTATACGAGATCTAAATATAGAGGCCCTAAGTATGGTACAAATAGTAGTTCCCCAAGTCTTCAGTCAAGAGAGTATTTTGGCCGGAGACTTGAAATTCAGTCCATGTGTGGGCCGAAGTAACTAGATGTCGTCTAGGACTGATACTCGATACAAGGCGATGCTCAATCTGAAATGATGCTCAACTAGAAATAGCACATGTTACGAGGCTGCTCTGCTTGTGTTGCCTTGGTTGGCTCAGCTTGTGGCGTTGAATGTTAAGGAGTCCCTTTTATAGAATAAGGGCTCGCTCCTCATTACAAAAATGATGGGTTAGAGTTGGTGCTCGCGGCGAGGCGGTTGCTTAGCTGACGGCGATGCTCTCTAATGATAGTGAGGGAGGCCCTTTTATAGAATAAGGGCTTACTCCTCAATACATAAGTAATGGGTTAGGAATGATGCTCGCGGCGAGACGGTTGCTCAACTGGCGACGATGCTCTCTAATGAAGGTGAGGGAGTCCCTTTTATAAAATAAGGGATCGCTCCTCAGTACATGAATAATGGGTGCTCTCTAATGAAAGTGAGGAAGTCCCTTTTATAGAATAAGGGCACGCTCCTCAATACATAAATAATGGGCTAAGTCCCCCAAGTATTTTTCATGAGGCCCAATATATGGTACATAATGTAGTCCCCCAAGTCTTCGGTTAATAGAGTCTGTTGGCTGGAGACTTCAAATCGAATCCATGTATGGGTTGAAATGGCAGTTGTTCGGAGGCGGTATTTGTATATCCTGCACTGAAGCTTTGTAGGTGAAGAAGCTTTGCAAGTGAAGCTTTGAAGCTAGAGCTCTGTAAATGAAGCTTTTGAAGCTAGATTGGCATAAGTGATGCTCATGAATGTTTATGTTGATTGACATGAGTGATGCTCATAGATGTTGACATAAGTGATGCTCATGAATGTTGACATGAGTGATGCTCATGAATGTTAACATGAATGATGGCCATGAATGTTTATGTAAGATTGTCATGAGTGATGCTCATGAATGTTTATGTATGAATGACATGAGTGATGCTCATGTATAATTTTGGAGTACTGGACGTACTTTTGATCACCTAGTGGGTGATAATAGCGGCAAGTTGCCGAATAATTTTGGAGTACTGGGCGTACTTTTGATCACTTGGTTGGTAATAATAACGGCAAGTTGCCGAATAATTTTGGAGTACTTGGCGTACTTTTGATCACCTGGTTGGTGATAATAGCGGCAGGTTGCCAAATAATTTTGGAGTACTGGGCGTACTTTTGATCACTTGGTTGATGATAATAACGGCAGGTTGCCGAATAATTTTTTGTAGTACTGGACGTACTTTTGATCACCTGGTGGTAATAGAGGCAGGTTGTCGAATAATTTTGGAGTATTGGGCGTACTTTTGATCACCTGGTTAGTGATAATAGCGACAGGTTGCCGAATAATTTTTTATAGTACTATATATACTTTTAATCACCTGGTTTGTGATAATAGAAGGTCTGGCTCTTTTGGGCATATGGGTCTTCGCCCTCTATATAACACTCCAGCCCATTATTTTGGGCTTGCCTTTTTTTTTTTTTTTTTTTTTTAACTACACAAGTGCCTTCGCCTATGAGCGATAGGTCTCGGGTTCGAGGCTTGGGAGCAGCCTCTCCATAAATGGGGGTAAGGCTAGCCGACATTCACCTCTCCCAGACCATGCGTAAAGCGGGAGCCTTGTGCACTAGGTACGACCTTTTAACTACCCTCTGACGGGGGGTTTATACAGATGTCTCTGAAAGAAAAGAAAAATAAATTACATCGTTTTGCCTGATAAAGATAATAGAGTTCTTTATCTTCTTCCAGTGGTCGACACCTTTTTTCTCCCCAGACATCTTTTTCCTTTTTATATTCCTTTTCTTTCCATTGCAGATTTAGATCATGGGGTTTGGTCAGTTGCTCCCTTTATTCCTTTCTTTTGCAGATTTGCATATCTGCTTTACAGCAAACTTCCATGTGGGTGGTGTACAAAAGCAAAAGTAGCTTCAAATATGGTGCACACTATCATTTGCACTTTGTCAGACGCTCCAATTTGCACCTTTTGAGGGCCCAGAATTGTACCAACCCCTGAGCAGAAAGCCGTCGCTTGAACGAGCCATGCTCTTGCGCGCAGATCAACTGCAGGACCTCAATCCACGGCTCTGATTTCACAAAGGATACATGGCGTTTGCCATTCCTTTTCTTCGTCAAGCTCACCGAACTCTACGCCTCACTGCTCTCCCTCAGCTCACCCGCTGAGTCGCCCGCACATTTCCTTTGGATGGGGGTCTCTGAAACGACACTGTCGACGGGGATGGCTGCAGCAGCATTTGATGAAGGCAACGAGGAGGTGCCGGAGGATGAAATCGTGCAAGCGGCAAAGGCCGAGAAGGTGCCTGCAATTATCCTCTGACAGACTCGTGCAACACTCTCCAACTTATCAAGGACTAGCCCTGTCTCTGACCTTTTCGAAACGGCCACAATCTCATATACATCCCATAGTGATTGCTCAAAATCCCATTCTGTATCACCAGCTGATGATGATTTTCTCATTGCTTCAAGCTTGAACCGGGATGGCGAAGGGTAGATTCGAAATTTTCCTCCTCAAGTAGTAACCCATAAGTTCTTCATCCAAGGGTTTAAATTGGTGCCCCAGTGGGATTGAGTTGAAAAAAGAATTGTAACTGCCACTGTGTCCGCCGTGGAGATCAATGGTGAATTAAACCGGGAAAGAATGACAGACAGTGAACAATGATATTGAAACGTGGTATTACAACAGAGCCCCACCGTTAGTCACCGTTGGATAAGCTCGGGCAGTCACGCAGCAGCAGTCAAGAATCTCTCATACACTTACCAGTGTTCATCATTGCTCGTAATGGAAAAGGCCGAACTGGAGGATGATTCTGCAGAGGTCGCAGCCGAGGCCTGCATTGTCGGGGCAGTTGAGGGTGAGGACGGACTGCTCGTCGGGAGTCTTCCCCAGCTGGATCTCGACGACGTCATCGCAGGGAATGCCATGGTTGACTTCGTGTTTTGGCAGATCTACCCCTGGGAATCGTTGGCCTTTAGGAGATGGCATAGGAGAGGTTCGGGAATGTACAGATAAAACAATTGATCTGCTCGTTAATGGTTGCCTCACTTTCATCAGTGTACTTCTGGCAGGCCAGAGAAAATTGGGGAGAGTAGGAACGAGATCAAGCTCCTTCTTCACCTCCTCAAACGGCTCAAAAACCACACCGGTAAGCGGCCGGTTAGTCGCATTCTTTGACGCGCAGAGATGACCCCACTTTCATTTTTCGCCGGAGGGAACCGGAGAATCGAAGACACATGTGGAGGAGTTCAGAGGCGAGAACGAGTACGAAATGTACAGCACAGAGGGAAACAGAGGACCAAAACTGTCCCTATGAGCGAGCAAGTGAGGAGGCTGCAGAGGCTTTGAGAACCATGATTCCAAAGAGAGAAACGAAAGCGTTGCCGGAAAGGAGAGGAAATCAGGGTTAAAGAAGCAGAGAAAAAACCAGAGGAATGGAGGGTTTGAGTGAGTGTTTCAGATTTCTGGGAAAACTCTGGGTTGTTGGGTTTTTTTGCAGATTTTGCAGATTCGAGGTGGAGTGTGGTGAGGTCTCACGATGGTGAGATGAAAAAATGAAAGATAACCGATATAGCTTTTTGTGTCGATTCCCACAGACGGCGCCAAATGTTGATGCACAAAACCGAAAGGGTCTTGGAACAACGTAAATCCGACCGTGAATCTGCAAGAAAGTAAATAACACAAGGTGTATCGTGGTTCACCCCAATGTTTGGGCTACGTCCACACTGATATTGTATTTCTCTGTGAGGGAGAAAGAGCCTCTGAATAGGAGAGTGAGGCTTCTGAGGGTGGGAGTCAGGCCTAAGAATTGGTCTCCCCTAATGAGAGTGAAGAGTCCTTTTATAGAATAAAGGCTCTTCACTTATTACATATTTGCTCCTTCCTTTATTACATAATTACATTTAAGTCCCCCAAGTATTTATACGAGATCTAAATACGAATGCCCTAAATATGGTACAAACAATATTCATCATAGATAGGTGGTAAGGTGCAATCATAAGTATAGCCCAATTCATCATTATCAAACTCATTTTCAAAGATAAGTGATACTAATGGGGTTACCTTCAAATTTGAAACTTTAGGCATCACCACTTGTTCATTTTGATGAGTATTTGGGTTCACCTTATCAGATTCGCATTCAACAATGCAAGACCTAGCATCCTCAAGCCAACTACCAAACCTTGACATTTGGGTGGTCCATCATCGTTGGTTGTGCTTCCTGCGTTTTGTTCCACCATGCTTCCTACGAGCTTCTAGGCATTCAATTTGCAAGGCAAGCAACTCGATTTCTTGTTGCAACTCTTGAATTTCGTCATCTCTTTCAACTCTCAAATCCCCAAGCTCTTGGTTATCACGCCTTCCTCTACCTCCCATCATTGCCATTTAGATAAATACCACGGAAGCAACCCAAAGAGTGTAGCGAAGCTCTGGTACCAAATAATGCAGAATGACAAAGAGATAGAGAAGATGTCAAAAAACACACGACGCTTGACAGAAAAATGATAGAAGAGCAATGCTCAATTCTTTGTTACCATAAAATTATAATTCCAAATTGTCTCCTTTAGCATATCAAACTCCCTCCCTAATATACTAGTATGCCAAAACATCTTCATCAATGCAAATACAACTCCCTAAGCCACTGAAACATATTAAATGATAATTGTTCCACCTAGCCACTTAATTTAAAACACAACTTACAATGCATCAAAATTACTACAAAACATTACATCACAACCTAAGATACATGAATCTCAAATTAATAATTAACGGAATGGATGAACACCAAAATACCAAAAGCCCCGTTGAATAAACTCCTTATTCACTACATCATCCAAGGTAATTTTCTTGCTCGAAAATTTTGATCCACAAAACCAAATTACATTTTTCAGCAAAAAATACCACTTTAACAAACCAAATACAAAATACAAACACAGCTATTCAATTTAGCTTGATTTACATCATAAAAAGTTCATTCAAACAACTAAAAGGGCACAAATAAAAAAAATTGAAAAACCAACCTTTTTCAAACACCACTGATTCCACTCTTCTGACATCTGATTTGTTTAACAGGAGCCAAATTAATCTGAAATTAAAACAAACCTCATTAATTAAATCAACCCAGAATAAAACATATTCACACTCACACATGTATAACGCAATACACACATGTACAATATATACTTAAATGACATACCTCGATGCCTTGTGGATCTGCAAGTGTGCTTGGAAAAGAACAGCAAAAAAAATGATTTTAATGATGAGGAAGTGTCAGGATCCAAATGAGAGCGGAAATCAGAAAAATTAAATTTAAATTTATGTACAAATCTCAAATCACAAAAGCCACAAATTTGACGAAAACAAAACCATCCAGATAAACAACCCAAAAAACTAATCAGAAAACCATAACTTTTTTGTGTAAGAAATTCCTTTAAATCAAACCAAAAAAAATTGAACATGATTATCTGAATTCAAAAAAAAATTAAAACACAGTCAATTTACTCTTATCTAAATAGACTTCATCTTCCCCTAATACGGTAATGCCCAAAATAAGACACAATAGTTACATCAATGAAATTCCATAAAAAATTTCAACACCTAAGGGCCAAAAGAAAAAACAATGTGACCTGTGAATACTATGCATCCAAGAAAAAGGATAATAGGAGTGAATGTGGAGAACAAAGAAGAAAGATTACCCCAAACTGAGCCACAGTTTCAATCTGCACCCGTAAACCAGTGCGAAAATGGATATGAGACATAAAACTATGTTTCCATACACATGTTAAAGAAATCAGGAAAAATAAAACCAAAATCAATGCATTTTTCACTTAATTCTTTTCTATCCAAAGCGAAACGGAGAATTGTCACTTAGCAACTGCTACGAAACCATATATTAGTATCGATATGATAACCGACAAGAAACGTATATTTCTGTCGGATATTAGGCAAAATCCAACAGAAAATGGATGCATTGGCGAATATAATAAGCAACAGAATTACCACTGTCAGGAAATGAATTTTCCGACACAAAATACTCTAAAACCGACAGAAACTGTGTCGGATATAATCGACAGAGAATATATTAATAATGAATAAATAAGAGCATTCTCTGTTATAGATAAAACCGACAAAAAATACTCTAAAATCGACAAACTTGTGTTGGATATAACCGACATATAATTTATTAATAATGAATACATAAGAGTATTGTCTGTCAGATAAAACCGACAGAAAATATATTAATAATAAAAAAAATTGAAATCCAAAAATAATGAAATGGTGCCCGCCTAAAGGTTGTTTCTTGTGCACGTTGAAGAAAGTCCGTCCGAGCAACGTTCGAAAAGTTCATTCAGCTGCAATGGCAGAAGTTGGAAACGATAAAGTTTGATCAATCGTACTCTGTCCGAGAAATTTTCAGAGGTTTAATACTGTAATTTGGTATGCTACTAGGTTATTGTTTTTCCTATTTAGTTACTGTTTTTTAGCAGGAAAAAATTGTTACAGTAAAGTTTGAAATTGTTATATTCCTAAAAGCTGTTGAATGACCATCTAAGTCTACAGTTTCGAATTTTCTGCAGAACAAGTCATTTGGAAATTGCTTGGATGGATTTTTCTTAACACCAGAAAGAAACAACCTAGATTTTACCACTTTGGATTCAGCCATGCCGAGCTTGGCTCTTTCTTGTTTTTCCATCTTCAGCTTCTTCCAATGGAGGTCTCTCGGGCACATATGCTTCAGCTAGATCATAACCTACAGCTGACATGTCCTGAATCATTTCTTTCCCTTTCAAGTTGGCCTCCCCTACATTCACTGCATTTTCCAGCTTTAAGATGTGCAACGTTCCTCTTAAGGTACACCATATTCTTCAATTCTTCAAGTTTGTTTCATGTTTCACAACTAACCTCTATATATATATATATATATATATATATATATTGTTAGACAGAAGTTTGACCCCAAACAACTAGAAAAGGATTGGAAAGACAGATAAATATATTTGAAAAGAAAAGAAAAGACAAATCGAAAATTTGTGCAACTTGTGCAGACTGGTTAGACACCCTATGCTTCGTGGCAACATCAAGGTCTTGAACCAGAAAATTTTATCTAGCTCCAAATGTCTTAGTTTGCTTCTCGAATTGTTCATCCATGGTGATTGAAGCAAGAAGGAGAAGGGGAGAGGAGAAGAGAAGAAGAAGGAAATGAAGAGGAGAAAAGTGGGAAGGAAGGGGGAAGGGAGAAGGCACCGGCGTAAGGAAGAGATGGATGAGTTTTATTTTGGAAAATTTTCATTATTGTTGGTTAAAACCGACAAAAACATTTTTTTAAATAAAAACTGACAGAAAATTTTCATTACTGTCGGTTAGAACTAGGGGTGGGCATGGGCTGGGTCGGGCCCAATTTTGAAGGGACCGGACCGGACCTAGGTTCAAAGGAGACGGGCCAGGCCAGGCCGGGTATTACAGTTTTCAATATAGGAACCGGACCTTACCTGGCCCAGTTGAAACGGGCCGATTCGGGCTGGGTCCACAGGTCCTTGGTTTTTTTTTTTTGTTGGTAAAAAAAAAAAAGCTAAAATTTGCACATATTGCACAGATTCTATCATTCTACCACAACGGCCCTACCAACGTCCAAAATAACAACACATCCAAATTCCGAGAGTCCAAAATAACAATAATACATCGTCCAAATCAACATACAAAATAGAACTAATAGAAGGATAGGAGAAAGTTTATTAATTATACATGTTGATGCAGACTTGCAGTTGGTAGAGATGCTGAACTTTACAGAAACCAACCTCAAGAATCTGGCGCCACCCTTTCCAATCCCAAAACTGTGCGACTGCGAACTACAACACCATACAGAAAACCCTACATTTTAGATTGCCATTTTTAACAGGAACACAAAACACTGATACTTCACACTTAACAAAATGAACCAAATAGAGTAGCAATCTTACCCTAATAAAAAACAGGAAATAAACCATAATCTTTATCCCACTAAAAACACATGTACATAAAATATCAAAAAAACCCCAACGAAAAAACAAACCAACTTCCTAACTTAGGAAAAAAATAAACAGTGTCCTAATTTAATTATTTTCCAACACTCTCTTCAAAAAAAAATATTTTCCAACAATCGTACCCAAAATTCAATGAAACAAATAAACAAAAAAACTCAGAAATATCTGGAATTATTCGATAATGGTATTGAAGTTGGCAGGTAATCATGAGCTACTTGTTTGTAGACAAGGAAAGCAACTTGCTTTCTATTTCCACAAAACAAAAAAGGAAATGGAGCAAGTTGAAAAGTTTCAACTTCAATATACAACATCCATTATCCAAAATTAGTTACTGCATGATTAAGTAATACACCTGTTCAATTCCAACCACATCAGGACCTCTATATAAACCGACCAATGCATACCAAACCCACAACTTATCCTTCCTTCTCTATATTCATATACAAATTAAGCTTAGCCTATTGAGGTTCTAAAATCTGGTCCGACTTGCTTCCTCATTGACTGAAAAGTGAAAAGCACAACCTCATTTAAGGACCACAAAATAGAATCTGCATATGTAATACACAAAAGCCATCCTGATACAAGTGTTGTGCACAAGAAAACAACAAGCGTCATCCACACACAACACACACACATAGTCAAATCTGAAAACTAGAATAAGCATAATTTACTTATATACAACCATCACAAAAAAGCTAAGGAAAGCCCTTTCTTGCGAAAAGTGATCAGATCTATTACGTTTTCAAATACCATATTACTGACAATCTATTACGTTTTCAAATATCATAAATATCTTATTACTGACATTGAAGATAATCTAATGACCTCCAGTCTTACGAAACACAGAAATGGTACTTAGCGCTAAAACGCATTGATTATTTCAAGCTTCTCAAGTCCTTCACCCAAATGTTCCGAGGACGACAAATAAAACCGAAAATAGAGAGAACGAGAAACAACAAGAGTTTCATCGGACTTGAGAAATCATCATAGATCTTGCCTTAGTTCCAGGGAAAAGCCATACATAGAAATTATCCAAACAGATCCACAATTCCTTCACCCAAATGTTCATGCATTCATCAAATTACTCCCACCTAAAGATTTAGGCTCTAATCAAATCCAATTATTCATGCATTCATCAAATCCTCTGCATCAACAAAAATAAAATTTGGAGAAGTAGACTTACGGTAGCCGACGAAATAATAGATGTCGTCGAGGTCGGAGGATGGTTGGATGGGTGGTGGTGCTGCTGCTGTTGTGTTGGTCGCATCGGCGGTGATGGACGTTCTCTGGGATGTCGTTGGAGTGGGGAGTCGAGTCGATGGTGGAGAGGTGGGAGTGAGATTGTGAGAGAGTGAGACTGAAAGTCTGAAATTGATTCTGAAACCCTAGGTTAGAAATTAACGATTCAGATTGCAGGATAGGTTATCATTCAATCTCGACCGTTGATTATAATTAGAAACGGGTCGGTCCGGGGCCCCGTTTTTCTAAGGTTTAGGAACCAGCCCACCCCGTTTGTTCCCAAAAAAAAAAGGACCCAGCCCGTACCCGCCCCGAACCTACATTACCCGCCTCAACCCGCGCTTCCTCTACCCGTTTGCCCACCCCTAGTTATAACCGACAAAAAAAAAAATGGAGGCAAAAATCCCCCAAAATTCCCTCCCAAAATTTTAAATCCCCCGCCCCCCAAAATTTTGTTACGTTTTTTTAAATTAAATAAATAATTGTTTCGTTTAATAGATAATAACCCATGTAAAATATGTGATAAAGAAACAAAAAGATAATTGTACAATGAAAATGTTATCACACAAACTAAATATTATCTAATCAATACTGAAAAGAAAGAGACCAGTATGTAGGTCACTACAAACCAATGAAAAGGAAACAATGGTGATATGCAAAATGATGCCTTTAACTCGTCCAGTTCACTTGCCCATACATATGATTAAAGGATGGGTTTTAAATACTAGTGAAGAAAGTTGAGGTTCTACAAATGTAGAGTAGCTTATCATTTATAAGCACATGCAAGGTCCCTTCCTTTCCCGATGTGAGATCTTGCATGTGCTTATTAGTAAATGGGCTATTCTATATATAGCCAAATGGTTTTATGATGAAACCCCAACTTCCTTCATGATCAGAGCAGGTTGTCGCACGTGTGAAGCTCAACGGTCACATGTACTCCACGTCATCCATTTAGTGTGTTTTCACGTGTTTGACTTGAAAATTCGCAACACTTGCGGGGGCATGTTGAGAGTATCGGGGAAACAAAGACCTTTGCATGGACTTATCAGTAGTTGGACTACTTTTCATATTGCCAATTGGTTCTATGGTGGAACCCCACTTTCTTCTTAGTATCAAGGCAAGTTATTCTATGTATGAAGCCCAACGGCAATACGTGCTCTACGTCACCCTATTTGTGTTTGTCCACGTGTTTGGCCTAAAAATTCGCCAAACGTGATGTGGCATGTTGAGAGTCAGAATCCAACATCAAAAAAAGAGGGAACATTGCATATGCCTAAGTCATTTGGGTACTACTCATACTGCCAATAAGTTTTTATGATGAAACCCCAACTTCCTTAAAAAAAACTTAACCACCGTAGGCACAAACAGGTTGATAAAAAAACTCACTTTTTACTAATGGAACCTTAAGTCGATTATTTGGAGGTTCAAATGAGTTATGACTTCATATTATTTTCTTTCTTCATTTTCAAGATATCTGATGGGTCTCTATAAAAACGTGAAGATATTTCGGTGGATACCTGCTGAAAAAGTTTCACCAGTTATCTTTTACGTACTCTTACGTTAGACGGAGAGTACTGAAAATATGCACAGCTTTTATAGCTGCCGCTGAAACCTTATATTGTTCGGGACAGATACCTGTTGAAACATTCTGTGGAGGGTATAGGGTGTCGAGTGTGTGAGGGTAATTTAGGTAAGTAAAGCAGGTGTATCAATTGTTTCTGAAGTATAAATCTACAGAGAAAGAAAAAGAAAAGAAAACTAATTTTGCAACAAATGACATGTTTACAGTACATGAGACAAGAAGCTCTTTCAGTTGAGATGGAGCAGCAAGTCCCTTGTATTCTCCTCTCCTTAGTTTGTCTGTCTGCCATTACTACTTTGTTGCACGATATCTTGGATAAGCTGTGAAACGTTGACGTGAGACGATCCTCCTTCTTCTGCTGCTCTCTTTGCCATCTCTCCAAACTCTCTGGCTCTCTCTCTTCTCCCTTCACTTTCTTCTCCATCCATCACCTTCTCTATCGCTTTTGTTACATTTTCCCTTTTCACCAGCACGCCAATCTTCTCTTCCTCTCCCCACTTTACCGGATACTCCACCCCAACGCTCACCGCAATTTTAAGAACCTGCACAACTAGTTTTTCATTAAGGAACTGGTCCCCAAACAGTGGCCATGTGATCAAGGGCAGCCCGGCACATATCCCTTCCATTATCGAGTTCCATCCACAATGTGTTAAGAACCCCCCAACTGCACGGTGTGACAATATGAGTGTTTGCGGAGCCCATCCCCAAATAACGAGGCTCCTTCCCTTCGTTCTTTCTTCAAATTCACTCTCAGAAATCCATTTTTCCAACTCTTCTGATTGACTGCATCCCCTTACAACCCAAATGAACGTTTTGTTCGATGCCTCTAAGGCCAGTCCAAGCTCTATCAATTGTTCACACACAAGATTGCATAAACTTCCGAGGCAAGCATAAATTACAGAACTTGGTTCCCAAGAATCAAGCCACTTCAAGCAGTGCTGTTCATCAATGGAGGCCTTGTTACCCCTCTGCGCCTTGTCCAAGTCATCTTTGTTGCTCAGTGAAGCTGGGCCAATGCACCAGACTTTCGCCGTCTTCTTGTACGCTTCAATATATGCCGGCTCCAACTCTTCAAAAGTATTCATGATTATCCCAAATGTTTCCAATTCAGCTGCAACAATTTTATCCAAAAACCCTGACATACTTGGAGTCAGGGGGCCTGGCAGCTGAGCTTTCGTGGCCTCAATTCGATCAGGCAAGTCAGGCACAACAAAGTACTCCGTTTCAGAGCTTAAATTCTCATGAACTTTCGACGCCTGAAGTTTGTTAATGCAAAGGAGACAAAATGTGCAGAATCCACTGAAAGATATCCTTGGAATGTTAAACTTGTGGGAAATTTTCACCGTCCACGGAAAACACATATCGGAGAATATGCAGCTTGGCTCGGGGGTTAACTCTTCAAACAACTTCTCTGCTTGTTGTTGCAACAGACCCGTTGCAAAAAAGAAGTGCGCCGCCAATCCATGCGACGGAAGCAGGTCAAGGTTCTCACACCCAGCAGGCAACCCCGCTTTTTCGCATGGAAATTCTAGTAGGGCTACCCTCATTTGGAGGCCCGACTGCACAGCACGAGTCAAAACGTTTTGAAATCGCGCCGCATTGTGCTGCGTAGTGACGATGGTGATGATGATGCCTCTTTGCGCCAAGAGTCTAGCGATGTCGATCATGGGTATCATGTGGCCTTGGGCCATGAAAGGAAACATAACAAAGTGAAGCTGGGGCTCTCCGGACGCCATGGTATTGGGAAGAAAATTGGATGGATAGAATATCATATATGAAGCAGGAGGTTCGCTTGTTACTCGAGGGATATAGCATCTCTCTCTTGCTACGGGACAATGATGCAATTTGCCGCTGCTGACGTGAGAGCTTACAAATTTATTGGTGTTCTTATCCTAACATTTCACTCTACTCAGTTATGTGGACTCTGTTTAGCCACTTCACATAACTTGCTTCCTATTTCGTGCAGTTCTAGCGAGCACACACAAGCTACATGTAACGACGAGAATCGGACCCCAAATCTCTTGGGTGGTGTAGAGCTAGCTTATGGGACAAAACGGAGTCCCGCGGGTGAATAAAACTGACTATTCGATATCAATTGATGGAGAGGCAGGAAATATTACATATTATGTCGCAAGCACGACTCCGAACCAATCAACACACTAATATTCAGAATTGCCTCAAAACAAGAAACCAAGAAACATCTCAAACCACATCTCCTTCGTGTTCAAGTTACAAATCGTTTGCCTAAAAACTGTAAAACCGATATAGTACGTGAAAACCACACGAATTTACAATCTCCGAGATGACGTTTTGAGTGCAACAGAATAATGTTACATCTATAACACACAAAATACAGAAGCGACCCGAGGTATATGTTTGATTTACAAAGATACAACACAATTGACATGATTTAGAACAATTCGAGAAATTTATGGCCCTGGTAACCCTACATATTAAAGGTCAATGCTGAATTTCACGATTCTCCTACGCAGCTTCGTTCTGCATCTTGCAATGGGACTTCCATTTCAGTCATTAAAGATAGGGATATGTTTCCTTGCGCACAGATGAAGATGATCAATTTAATTTCTCCTTTATAGCTTGCCACTTCATTCTAGACTGAAAAATCATGGCCCTTTCGTATTGAGTGACTTGAGTCCGTACGATCAACTCGAGCTGATTTCCATGAGGATGACTTTGAGAATTTTAATAATAAACCTAGAGCAGAAGAGCACGTAGCTCTCACTACTGCATCCGCTGACTTACTCATTTTTCCTACTAGCGTTCCGAATACCTAGATTTAGACATGAATTTTTGTGAGTATACCATGTTACTCTTAGTTATGGGCCATGACATAAAAAGATAGAACTCATGTCTGAAAATTACCTGCGCATAATATTGATTCAAGATGTGCTGATCATCGGACAGAGATAGCATACAGCTGGAGAAGTATATAGCATTAGCCTGAATTATCGGCCATGGTGCATCGAAAGCCTGTGATATCAAGAATGTAAGTCAAGTCATTTGGGTACCCCTATTGTGAAAAGAATATAAGGGTGGTGTAACCATCTGAATTGCAAAGATTATACACATAAAATCATAGGGCTTTCATACCATAGTTACGAGGCCTACCACTAGTAATGATAGGAAAAACGCTAAATTTACTAGCCATTTAGCATAGCAACCAAAAAAAGAACAAAAAAAAAATTGTATTGAAAATGAAGGTTTTCCAGTCGGGAACCTGTATTGTAGATGCCATGTAAGTATCAAGTCTTGAGGGATGATGCTGAACAAATTGCTTTGTGAGGTCTCTGACAAAACCCTCGTAGTCAGTTCTGAAAAGAGAAAAGTTAGTGTGACTTCATCTATCGCCGTATAAGGGTTACTGTCATAATCATCTCATAAATTCAGTCCTCTGATAATGTGTCAAGACATACCGATGATCATGATTGAAAGAATGCATATTGAACAAGGGGAGGAGTCCATCCATTTCCAGTAATGGGGCAATTTGTTTCAGAGTAGTCTGTTCACCAATTCAGAAAAACAAGTTAAAAACGTCTCCATGCATCTTCTTGAGCAGGAGAAGTAATAACGGTAAGCAAGTACCCGGCAAGCCTGTCTCACACTAACGTCATCATCATGCAAATGCAGAACCAAGCGTGGGATTACGGTATGTACCTGGACATAGTATTACATTTTATAACTATATGAGCTTTTAAATGAAAACCACTGTCAAGTTTCCATGTTATTCATATATAAATAATTAAGTGGTAAAAAGTTCTGAACAAAACTGTGCAACAAGTTACTTTCTGAAATAAACAGCCAAAAGAACGAATGAGAAGCATGAAATAATCTCAATAATTTCTACGCCCATATGTCAGTTCTTCAAAAGGAAGGAAAGTTCTTCCTAAGATCAGAACAAGTAATAGACCTGCTCGAGAAATGCCTCATGTTGCGGACCAATTCCATAGTTACTTAGTGCTCCAAAAGCTGCAAAAGCATTAGCTCGCATCTTCGTATTTGTACATATCTGTTCCAAACATGTTGTAATTAGTCAATGTATCAGCACAATAAAATGGATTACGCTACAAGCAACATGTAAGATGCCATCTGATTTCCAAATAATAAGTGATATTACATGGATATCCTTTGCCTGACAGTTTGTTCTAAAATGACTTCCAGGAAGAAAAGGAAGGCGTACATTGTTCAGCCCACCTATTTTTCTGTTCTTCAACAAACTTGAAATTTTCCATGTTCTTAATTCTTTTTAAATCTTTACTTACAATATTTTACTGATAGTCTAATACCAAAATTAGTTAAAGTAACATTGAGAAGAGATGCTCCTATTAACTGCAATCATAACTCAATTAATTTGGAAACATTTAATCAAATGTAAATTGTAATCAAGATACGGCAAGGAAAGTTGAAACCACATTTAATCAGATGTAATCCTTGAATGACCAAAGAAAAAATGAAAGAGGCAGCAAGAACCAAGAAAATAATTTGTGAACCAGTATACTGAGAGTGAAGTACTGCACCAGAAGATTTCGAAGCCGCAGAGAAAGACTAAGCAAAATGGGATCCACAGCATCCTTGGGTGACGACTCAAGCATCTATTATATTAAAAATGAGTGCTCAATATTGAATTAATACTAAAGAAGTAAAGATTAATGATTACCAAGGAAAAAAGAGTGATCTAAAGAAAATTCTTAACATTTATATAACACACATGCTAATATTACACCCATCAAAAGAAAAGAAGGGAGGAATTCACCGTGAGCAAGCAAGAAACTGCAGTTAATTGCACAGATTCATCGGAATCATCTAGCAAAGCTAATATTACACCCAGAACTTGAGCTGTGTACTGCAACATCTGCATAGATGGTATCTGCAACTCAAAAGTTCAAAATGTCAATTCCTCCGGAATCATAGAATGAACGATGAAGGAAAAAAAATGAAATAAGATTTAAAACATGCAGTAGGCATACAATTCATTGTGAAGGACAGAGAAATAATGAAACCAATTTCAGGCAGGCAGAGAAACAAAGCCAGGCTTGAGAATGGACATGTAATTACAGGATATCGTCCAAAGACCAATAAAGCTATTTAGACGCACGAAACTGACACACTAGTTGACACTCTCAAATAGAGGTGTCTTAATAACATTACTCAACTCAACCAAATAATACTCTCTTCTCTTAAGGCCTAAGGAAATGCAACATATTTTCTATCAAAATATTCCAAATAAATATTTTTAGAACAAAGTAATGCTCCTCTAGCTTGAGACTGATAGAACCCAAAGATGTGAACGCAAGCACATACTAATTAGTGAAAAGTAAGAAATTTTTCATTTTTAGATAAGGTAACCGCTTCATTTTTGGATTGAATAAATCAAAGGAGAATCAAGGGACATATATAACATGGTGTGTAAAAGGATAAAACGTATGCGTGGAAATCATTTCCCACCGGAAAATTATGGAGGTCAGCTTCTCAGAAAAAAGCTGAAAAAGATATAAAAGAAAACTAAATAGGAACATGCACAGAAAAACTCCAACACTCATTCCAAGCACTTTCGCAAAAGATTCACTTAACCTGTACTAGTCCTCTCAAACACAAGCGCCTAACTGTTGGAGATTCATCTGAAACATGTCGACACAATACCTCCACAATCTGCTCCAATAGGGATCCAAACCCATCACTGCATTATCAAGAATATTAACTAATAAGAATTTGGAATCAAAGGTTAACAAAATTATTCAACTAATAACACAAAAATGCATGAATTAACAATGAGCACAAAACAAGTTAAAATGCTTGCAAAGAACTAAGATCCCAAGTACACAAGAAACTGAAGGAAATAGAGTAAACAGTGGTTACTATACACATATTATTTGGGTCTATACTTTATTACTTGTATCCTTTTCTATCACATGCGTAAACATGGACAGGAACAATGATATGGACCGAGATAATTACCAAGATGAACAGAAAAGTAACAAATTGCTGAGAATAATGACATGATGGAAACAGAGTTTGCAACAAGAAGATCCCATGATACAGACATGTCATGGAAATAACAAAATTTTAATGTAACCAACAAAATGTAAAGTGTCTTGGTTGACATCCAACGCATACCTGTAGCGGACAAACTCTGACAGTGCAGCAGCTGCAGCTTCCCTTTGGTATCTTTGGTGTCGATTTAATGATTTACTTAAAATTACACATATGCTTTGAACCTTTAAATAAAAAAGGTAGCGTCCATCAAAAAAGAAAATGAAACCACCACAAACCTTAATTTCCATGGACCATAAAAAACAGATTATGATATTTACAACACAATCACTTACCATATAAAGCTCAATAAATACCTCGTACTTAAATGCAAGCTACCTTTTTCAACAAATTCGCAAAATGTGATAAGCTTAAACAAATTGGAATTTTTTTTTTGCAAGGGTGATCCTGGTTTCTCGAATGATCTTTTAAAGAACACTTCGGATGTATTTTTTAGTGGAGTAAGCCCAAATGAGCGGTTAGCACCATATTAACTTACTACCCAGTTCGCACTTGAGCACTCGTCATACAACGTACATATACATATGTATGGGTTAGAATCCGAGGACACACGCTTTTGACACCCATTTTGTAGAGTCCACTTTGTAATGTATTTCAATGATCTACACCGTCTATATTTTAGTCAATGTTTTAAAGAGCGAAGCCAAAGCGTTTCATGAATAGCCTCGCCTAGGCGATAGCCTCATGGTACCTAATAAAACAATCAAGCAAGCATGCCAAGCAATCAAATATTTGATTAAATTATTATTTCTCTAATTCACTTCATAAAGTCATAATAATCTAATAGAAACTAAGTTCGAAACATAAAATTAGCATGAATTTTATAAAACCCTTGCCCAAAACGATGTCATTTTGGGTTTGGGAGGTTTCTTTTAAAACAAAATCA